CTCGAACTCACAGAGATCCGCCTGGCTCTGCCTCCCAAGTGCTGGGATTAAAGGCGTGCTCCACCACCGCCCGGCCAGTGCTTGACTCTTAAGTAGTGACAGACTCCAAAGTTGCACCATAGAGAATTCTCTGTTCCCAGCCATAGCACCATGTTCCCATTAGTTACATTTTCCGCCACACTGATTTCTGTCAATAAAGTCAAAGATGAAAGAGCTCTTCAATGGGCAGAGACTAGTGCTGTCTTAAGAACAGAATGAGAACGTGAGATCCTGCAGGGCCTTTCTTCTATATCTCTCATTACAATCACTCCTTGCATGAAGGTGTCTGGAGTCAGGGAGGGATGGAGCTGGATTGCGGCTCTAGGATTAGTTGAGAATTGCATGATTCACAAAAAGGGCAGCAGAAAGGCTATGTCTAGTTGATTGTGTGCCCTGAGTAAATCTGTTCCTACTATCCCCACCAGATTGGTTAATTCCATTTCCGTTTACAGTATTTAGACAAGGCAGATGATCTACTGAAGGGAACATGTTCTGAGCACTCACTCTATGCCCAACCCAATGCTGCCACTGTAGATTCACAGAGGAACAAGTTGCCTCTACTACAATGAAAAATCTGTCTGAAGGAGCCATATTCCAAAATTCAGAAACAATATCTGGTGGGCAACTGTCCAAGAGAATCACTGTCAACATCACCACAATGAACATGGCCTGCAATCATTAAGTGTGTAGAAAAGAAGAACATGATGTTCTAGGCAGGACTGGAGTGATCAGGGAGCAAGATGACATTGGAAAGAGAAGATAATCTCCCAGAGATGAGCAGGGTTAGCTCAGGATTGGGAACAGAAAAGGAATTCAGGGAGCTAAATAGAAGCTAAGAAGCTTTTTCATGAGAACCAAAAAGAGGCACATGAAACAGAACTGAGGTAGGTCTCCTGCAGCTAGACTAAAGCAGCTCTCAGTTGATTATATGTTATAATCTTTCTGCAATCCCAGGTCACAGTTTTGAAGTGTAGGATTTATTATAGGGAAAAAAGCAAGTTGGCAGGTACCCCTGCTGCCACCCCGACTTTTCAATCAATGTATATCTCCAGAAACTTCTGACCCACTTACCGGCCACCAGGTCATAGCTCGACCTGCCAAGAAGAAGCCTCCAACAGTGCTTCTGTTTGTCTTCAACATTGCCTGAGCAGAAAGGAAATCATTAGAGGGTTGGAAACAATAGGTGTACCCCCAAGATCAAAGAGACTCCCCAGCTGCTCCACACAGCATGCTGACATTGATATCACAGAGAGACATGCTTTTCTAGATAGAGTAACACGGCATCGGTTTTTAATGGACATGAAAGTCATGATTTAATAATGACTTAGAGGACTTCAAGAAACTATATTTGAAAATCTGATATTTATTTTAGTTTATGAAAATAGTGTTAAGCATCTCTAAAGCTGTCTTTGGAAGAAGATTTTGAGCTTCAAACTGGATACTGAAAAGAAGGAATGAACAGAATACAAATGATCTAAACTTCTCACTCAACAAGTGAGAAAATAAACAGCAAAGGGAAGTCGTTAAAATGAGAAAGAGAAATGACATTTGTGGTTTTGATGCCAGGTGCTGGGCATGCCAAGCAGAGCAAGAGCCCGACCCTAGTTCTGTTCAAATAATGGACTTGCTGGAGGAATGAATTCATTCAGTGCTACGGTTATTCATGCCACACACAAGCAAATTATTCAGACAGAAAGACAATGATACTTGGAAAATCATTGCCTCAACTCATCATTCTACACATCCACCATGACATGTTTTCCTATGCAATTTTGTGCCCTCCCAGAAATCTCACTGGACTTCCACATACCCACACTCCAATAGCTATCACCACCACGAAATAGATGACAATAACAGAGATGTCAGCAGCATTATTGATGTTCTCTGACAGTGAAGACAGTTCTGAGCTGGCAGTGCTGGTACTGGAGCTTACTGTGCTGGCCATGGCTGTAGGCAATGCTCTCCCCATTGCAAGCAAGCATTGGCACTTCTTTATATAGAAGTACTATGTTAATGATCAGCCTCGGGTAGGTGGGGAAGGATATCAGAGCCAGCTTCTGTCCACAGGAGACCTTTAAACCTCTCCTGTATGTTCAGGCTCTCACCTTACAGTGACTAGTTCTGGCTTCAGTGGAATTTGGAAATCAAGGAGAGAAGCCAGAGATGAGAATGGGAATTGGAGATGGAAAATGATGTGAGAAGTATTTGAGAAAGAAGAGGATATTTAAGACAATTGACTAGGACAAGGAATACAAAGGAGAGATTAAAGGAAGACAAAGGAAAAAAGACATAAGGAGAACAGGATAATGTTAGATGGGATACATGGTATCCTTAGCAGACACGAAATTCCTGGCAAAAATTGTCCTTTGAAATGGAAATTACCCATAACAGGTGGTCTAAGTGGACGCCATAGGCTATATCAAGACCCCAGCAGCCTGTGCGAAAAGGGAAAATTGCTCCACCCTTACCAATGCAGAAGGGTGTGGACAAGGCTGGGAGGTGGGTGAGTCAGAGGTGTTGAAGAGGGAATGAACCTACAGCCATGTGCTGGTGATCCTCATGGCCCAGCATCCTGGATACTCTGAAGACACCTGCTTGGCATTAGAAGTACCGTCTCGGAGCACTCTTCTCCATGGTTGTACATTTAAAATGCATGACATAAAACTTCCCTCTGTCCAATGTAGAAGCTGGCAAAGATTTCTCCCCTGTCTATAGGCTGCCTCTTCAATTCACTTTCTCTTCTCATGCAGGTGTTCTTTAATTTCTTGAACTTCCAATTGCCTGTTGCCTCACTATTTGCTGACTGAGGGGAGTCCTGTTCAGAAAGTCTTTACCTGGGTGTTGTATGGGGTGTGGGTTCACATGGGTCCCTGGAAAGAAGGACAAAAGAACTTTAAGGATGAAATTTTGCCTTTCCAGCTGCAGGGGCATCAGACTCCCTGGACTGACCCTGTCCCTTAGCAAAGGGCTTTTTTATTGTTATCCAATTTACACTGTAGCAAGTTAATTTCCATATCCCCAAACCTCTTATCTAAGCTCCCCAAAGGGACAATGCCAAATGCAAATTCTCAGTTAAGGAAAATCACAGTTTTCTGGGTTGCTCCCCGTCTAAGTTTTACATAGGCTTTGCACCTTCAGAAATCTCTCAGACAAGATCCACACAGAAGGTACCGGACACAAAAGGTATCAATCACAAAAGGCAGATTAAAGCTGGGTGCTAACACTCAGGAGTCAAACCAGCTGGAGTCAAACCAGCTGCAGCTCTGCGGGAATTCCCCCAACATACCCCCCCTTTTTTATATGCAACAATTAATTAATGCATATACAGCTTTTTCCTCTCCCTTCTGTTTTACAATCTTATGCCAGTAAGCCAAAACACATTTTAAAGCCAATATGGTTGTTATTGCTAGCACAAGAGTTCACACTTGCTAAAACAAGAACTCTGTTAAAGTGATTCACAGGATTGAATGAGGCTATAGGATCTGCAAGGCCTTCCATAACATCCATTCCTGTCATATCAGGTAACTTTTTTGCAAGTTTCCTTAATTTCTTGCTGTAAATCATAAACCATTTGAGAAGAATTGGGGTGACCCATCAAATGCATCTTTAACCCTTTTCCAGTCATCCTTGCTTTCACTAAACTTTAAAAGTGTAATGCAATAAGATGTAACATTCCAGTCACATTTTAATTTTATCTGCTCCTTCAATATGACAGCTTGCCTCAAATCAGGTAATTCATTATTAACTATCTCATTATCTGTTTTATTTTGTTCAGTCCAAAGTTCTGTAGAATGTTTATACCAGTCTCTAACAAACTCAGCAGGTGGAATTTCTTCATGAAGGGCCACTCAGGCTCATCCAGCAGTATCAGTCAGTGCAATAATTCCCATAATAACTGCAATAATCAGTCCAACCCTTCAATGTGTTCTTCTTGATATTCTTTCGGCGAGCTTCTGTACCAGGATCACTGTAGGTGAATCTTGCCATGGCCTTGACAAGTTCACCGGTATGCAGGTTGCTGGCCTTGCTCTAAGAATGTATAAACTTTCAGAGGTTAAGTTTAAAGACATACTAGACTTAACAGAGGTATGAGGGGACAGCATTCACAAGTGATGCTGTAATCATTAGGGTGCCATTCTACAGGCCTCTTTAGTAGCAAGTAAATCATGGTACACATGCCATAAAAGGATGGCTTTGATTTAGTCTAAAAGACAAAGTATACTTATCATCCTTAATGTTTAACTTTCCTTCCCACACTTTAAGAGGCTGGAAAGCACTTGCTAATTTCAACAAGTTAGTCTGAATTGAATTGCCAAATTGCAGGAGAGAACTTGACAGTCTAACTCCATGCCATTGGATAGGTTCATTAACAGAAGAACTAATTTCTACAGTTCCATTCAAACTATACACCCACCATCTTAACTCTAAATGAGAATATTTTTCTTGAGGGGAGCCATAAGGGCTCCAATCAATGATGTCTCCATGGGAGATATTAATTAGCACTCAAGGTTTCTCACTCTTATATTGTTGCCAATGCACCCAGTCAGATTCCTTATTGGCAACACTCATCTCACAGAACAGTAGACTTAGGAAACTAATAGCATTAATCTCCTGCCCCTTAAAACCAGATATATGAAGCATTTAAAACTTATTATGATAATATTGGATAGTATTGACTGTGGATAGCCATACTTCAAAGGTTATATTTAGATGTTGAATCCCATTTCCCATACAAATAGGAATTCCTTGTACTCACACAGTATAATTTTTAATCTCTTTACCCTTGTCCATTGGCTGAGCAGGACCTTGGTTGCCATAAGGACGAGGTAGTCAAGATTCATTAACCAACACAGGAATAGCCAT